TGAGAAACTGATCATCCAGATGTGTCTTCTCAACACAGGAACACCCTTTCCTTATTGCTCAGCTATCTGACTCCCACTTTTGCTTTCTTTGTATCCTTCACTATATTTTGTTCTGCTCTGAGTGCTGGGATAACCAGAACGTCCCTGCCTACCACACTGCTTCACTTGTCTACCACACCACCTTCCTTTCTTCCTCAAACCTTACTGAAGGACAGGTGAGGTCCTATGAATTAAGCTGCAGATTGAGGATTGCTAGATTCTCAGGAATCCTCATTAAATGGAAAGTGTTTTCCCTCCCCATATAAATTACTGTGAAGATGCTCCATGTTTCAAGATGCACTGAGACATAATCTATCTTTTTAACACACTGTCATTTTATGTTGCTTTTTAAAACTTTAACACCTTTCAAAGTAAAAAAAAAAAATAAAATTGTGCATAAATAATCTCCTAAACTCTCTGCTTATGTAAAGTTGGGGAAGGAATGTTAAAGATTTTGAGCAAGTTTTATCTAATTAAAAATTAGGACTTAATTACTTCTTTCCTGAAAGATGAGCCTCTGGCTGATAATTTTATGAGGATGGTATGCCTTGAGCAAACTACAGAAAATAGTCTTCTGCCCAAACTTAAGAAAATAGAAGCTTCATCATACAGATGGTTATGAGTTTTGCACATTTAAAAAAATCTTTGCTGTCTAGCATAGGCAGACAATCTAAACTGAAATCAGAGAAGTAGCAGATGAACTGAGAAAACATCCACGTGTAAATTCTTGCTTCTACATTGTGTGATCTATTTCATGTGCAAATACTTTATTAAGAAAGACATTCCCCTCCACCCCATTCCTTTCCTTTTGTACCCCCAGCAATTTAAGGGGATTCTTTCTGTGGATTATCTAATAGCAGGGAAGGTATTCATGCACCATTATTACTTCTCTTGTCACATGAGATATACTAGATGGGGTTTGGGCAGAATATTTTATCTTGGATGAATTATCTATCTATTCTGTGAAAGAAGTGCCAAGCTAAACCAGAAATACAGCAGCAAAGGCTCATGAAGCTTCCAGATTGGATTCAGCTTACAATTAAAGATTTCTTATGATCTTTATGAATCTGTACTCACAATGGTGGCTGAATCTTCGTGATCACGTTAACTCTTACAAGGGTGTTTATTTATTGACTTATTTAAAAAAAAACCCTGAAGCCTACTGCTGCACTATGTGTGCAAACAAAACTGGCAGAATACAGGGAGCCTTAATTAAGAGTGATGTCAGTGAGTACAAATATCAGGATCAGGTTCTTATTTAGGCCAATTTCATTTTCTGATTGTTCTTCCAATTTTGTTTGGTTTATTGTGAGTTGATCATTGTTATTGTTAGTTTAGAATTTGAGCTAACTTTGGTCAATATTCTTTGCATGGAAAGTAATTAAATTTTACTAGCCTAACTGTGGTCTCTTACCCCACTTTGTTAGCAACGCTCTTTTTTTGATCATTGGAGTGGTGACCTATAGTCTGGGTGTTTAGCAGAAAGCTATTTCTCTGTAAAATTCCACATGATGGATCAAAATCTTAAGTTCACCCCTCCTCCACTCCACTAATTTGCTTATAGCTCCTTAATTAAAAAAAAAAAAAAAAAAAGGTCAATTCAAACAGGACAAAATTACTCAGGATTTAACCCATTGATACACATTTTGACACTTAAGTTTATCCTGGGACAAATACACATATGTTCTCCTGTTTAGTACCACATGTCCATCACTGCTGGTTTACAGTTCCAAAAAAGTTTGCAAATGAGACTGCCTTTCATGCTCTGTGATGCTTCCTAGTCATGAATTATATTATAAAGAAAAGAAAGGTAAAAGCACACATATATGTGTATATGTATGCAAAAAGACATATAAGTAAATACATTTTTTAACCTTATATCTTTATATAAACGCAGGTGTATGAAAAAACATATACACACATTCCTTCTTTGTAGCCCTTGTTTATAATAATGATTTTAGTCAAAGTTCCAAAATATGGATTTCATTTAGGATTAACCAAGCAATTAGTAAGGCAATAGCAATTTACTGTTATAAACGTATAAGAAAATATGTGCCTTTTACAATAAACTTAAAAACATGTTTGTAAATACCAAATGGAATCCAAGATTTTCTAGCTGTCTCAGTAAAATGTAACTAAATGCAGGATTTGGAATTTAAATTCCAAACATTCACCTTTATTGTTGGAACATGGTCCTGAATGATTTCCTAAACTATTTCAGTAAACGTCCATGCTAACGAGGTTGTAAAACATGGGATTCAATCTTGTTAACATTCCCTTCTAGAACTTGACTTCAGAAGGAAAAGGGGGATTATATAAAATTATTATTTATCTTCTTCTGTTTCATGTATTTCTACACTGTTGTGAATGACTATGTCCTTAGAGTAAGAAATCACGTAATGAGTGAGAAAAAAATACTGGAATAACTCAATGCCTTCTATACTACAAACTGAGTTTCTAAGGCAACTTGATCAAGAAAAGCATGAAAAAATATGGAGAAGTAGGGCTTTTAAGTGATAATGGCAGGAAGGAATTTCAAACAAATTTGCAGACAAGTGAGGCTCATGCCTAATAGCTGTCCAGGGCTTTCTCCAGACCATTTTTGCTTTAGGTCTGCGAAGCTTAAAGAAAAAGGCAATTTTTAAAGAGGTTCAAGGGAAATATTTCTCTGTGCGGATATGCAGGCTAAGCCAGCCAACTGTGCAGCTACAACTGGGGGCTTTGAATGTGAAGTGCCTGTGGAGACCATCCACCAGCTGTGCATACCTACCTCCTCTGGCAACGTCACACACAGCACAGAGGAGCCACTTTTTCCAGACAGGAACACTTTTGACTCTTATGCAACTTGGGATCATCAGTGGGCAGTGGGGTGCACTCAACACACTAATAAACTCCTGATGTCAGGTCCACTCTGGAGTTCCCACTCCAAGGAGTGAAGAACTTCATGAGGGAAGAGCAGATCAGGGACAGGCAGCAGGCAGCAGCATGTTGGACCTGTCCCTTGCCTCCAAAACCATCATCACTGCTCACCCTCTAGCCTTCCTAGTTCCTCAGACCCACAGAGGGGAGGGCAGAGGTGGAGGTGCCAAGAGGCAGAGGATGAGGGAAGAGGAAGAAGGTAGAGTGAGCCAGCTTTGGCAAGGAAAAGTTGCTAAATGCTGTGTTTAGGTGGTCAGACTTTATTTCACAGATTTGTTCTCCTTGCCCTTTGTCCTCTATCTTATATTGGGACAGTTAATCACTCACATGCATCCATACAGTTTTCAACCTTATACTGCTAAAGATCAATCTTGTATTTTTTTTAGACTAATTTTCCAGAGTCACCCTGAGTTCTAATCCCACCATCCTGAGTGACCGAGCCCTTTCATGGGTTGCTTACTTTCCATACCTTGTTTCACGAGGGCAAATGTAATACAAGTGATAAAAGTCTAATTCATGTCTTTTTTAGAAAAAATAATCCCCTTTTGTTTCTCTAATGGTACTGAAATGTGAAGTTAATACAAGTATACAAAGATAATGAAGAGTGTTTCTTCTAAGGTCTGCGCTGCCTCATTTGTGCCTCATGCAGAGTGCTGAACTAAGTAAAAACTTGATTTGCATCAAATATATGAACTTAACTGACTTCCTTAAGATTTAAAAACGAGACGTCAGTAAGCCAGGCTGCGAGTTTGCTTGGCTGCACGAACAACAGGAAGAAATTCACCCAGTCATTCTGGCACCATGCACAGGAGATGCAGCTGATCAATAAATTCCAAATCTCCTGATTTCATTTTCTCTACAAAATTATCGGTCGGAGTCTAGTACACAAATAAACAACTGCCATGCAGATCCCAATTCCAAACATAAGAAAAACAAAGGGGTAAAAGATTTGCTTATATATTGAGCACCATTTTCCAAGAAATCCATCAGAAGTAACCCTGTCTCAGAGAAGGTTATGAAGAAAGAAAAAGCGATGTAAAGGTCCTTCATTTCATCTCATAGAAAATACCATATGCTCTTGCATGCTTCATTAGTGCTCCCTGGTTTACTGCCTAGAAACACACAGTGAGTTCTACCTTCAGGGGTCAGCAGTGCTCAGCACATCTATGAACTAAGCTCTAAGTGACTGTGGGGACTATTGAATAAGGGCTGACTCTGCTGAATATTAATCCTGCAGTTTTAGGTTGGACCATTTGGATTCTGAACATCAGATAAGTACATATCAGTTCCTATCTTACAAATACCCCTAATCAACTGTACAGTGCTCTTCTCAGAAATAAAACTGTATTTCATTCAGAGAGTGCACATGGAGATTATTCTTGTAAATAGATTTGCTAGACTGCAAAATTCTGTTTACTCATAGTTTTGAAATTACATAAATACAGTAGCCTGTTCTGAGCTTTCTAGTGTAGAAAGTCCTGTGTTTTATGAGCAATAACATTTATGTTTTCGGAAAGCCTGACTATCAGACTATCTGCACACAGTTTGGAATTAAACGTGCTAAATGCAGCAGAGTTTCTGTGGCTGCACTGAAATGCAAGCAGTATAAAGACAGGCTGCTCCTTTGCTGTCTCATTTTTATGCCCAGTGGTCTTTCGTAGACTGTTCTATCTGAATTTGAGTATTAGTAGATTACCTTCAAATTAGAGCAAATTAGAGCTCAGGATTTACTTATAGTGTCATACCTTACTCCACTAGAAGCCTAACAATTTAAATGTGAGGGAGCACAATCTTCATAGTTTCATTCTGTCTTGAGAATGTGCTATTTATGGACTCTTTTAAGCATACTTAGGCACACATGCATGCAAAGCCAAGAGGTTGAAGTGAAATGACTCAAACAATGGATCTCTCCTGTTACAGCATTATTGACTATTCCAGGCTTTCTTACTCTTGTTAAATGACAGTGGATTGGATAAAAAGGGAATAAGAAATGGGATGGATATGAAAATAAAATGATGACAGTATAATAAATTAATGCTTACCATTTCCTGAGTGTTTGCAAAATCTGTCTCTTTCGAGCTACACTGCACCAAAAGCATTATAATATTAATCAGGACAATACAAAGGAAAACATATTTGTATCAATGTCTACTTAGAGTAATGATCATTCCTGCTCCTTAAAAACAAAACCAAAATAAAAAAAATTAAAAAAAGAAGGATGTTTTTCTCTCATTGAAACAGTACATGACACACTGCTAATGCTTCTGAATATACAGACGTGTGTTTATATCTGGTTAAAAATACAGTCTGAGCCTTAGCACATTGTCTTGCACGTAGAATTTTATTGCATGCAGAATATACTACTCTATCTAACTGAAAATCACAGCCATAACCCCTCAGTGTACTTTTATTTGACCTCAAATTAACATGAAAAAAGAGTTCATAGAGCAGCCATTTCTGTGCTATTTCTGCAGCATCTCTCAAGGCACTGGCAGTGTAGCCTCAGTGTAGAATGTGTTAGCGTTTCTGAAACATGTTATTAGACTAAATCTTGAACTGAACTTGACTTTGCCTAAAATTTAATGACAGGATGTCAAAAATATTTTCATCTGTATTAATGTAGTTGCTGTAATGAAAATACTTTAAGTCATTTATTGTTTTGATCCCATGCAGTTAGTGACACCATCCAGTCTTTAAGTACTGATTCTCGTTTACACTGCAATCTCACCCCTCTCACACCTAGGTGACTTACCACAAGGGAGTAACATATCTTGAATCCAGGTTTAGCCACAAAGTAGTCATCAGATTTGAAGGTTATCTTTATGTGATTTGTTCTTGATGTTATTCTTGGAGGTATTTCCTTGTGTCCACACCACCGTCCTCGTATAACTGTGCTGGTCTCTGATACATCTTCCACTTCCACAAAGTCATACCTGAAAACCAGTAGGAAGAATTAATTTTTGCTAACTCTGGGTACAGAGGGTGGTTGCAAATTAACAAGAAGGAGCACAGCTGCAGACACAAAGACAACTGTCCCCTGTTCTCCACTCAAAAACATCAGACTAAATATTACAAATGGTGGGCATGCTTGTGTAGCCCAAAATACACTGAGTTGAAAGCTACTGCCTAAGTACTCAAATGAGTGACTTCTGGGCTCTTGGAACATGACAGACAGTATTTTCTAACATGTTAAAATAGCAACAAGAGGCACTTGCATGTGCTTAGTATACAGTAAGCATACGCATTGTGTTTCATGTGGTGTGTAAATAATTTAGAAACCTGATAAAATATTATTTAAGGCAGGCTGCCCAAGCTGAGCAGCTGCAAGCACTTGTGTACTTTCTGGTGGTGACCCAAATCCGTGAAGCAGCAGCCAAGGATCCTGCCTGCTGTGCCAGTCAGAGGGCTGGAGCTGGGTGGCCACAGTGCCAGGAGGAAAGGGAGATGCTGGAGGGACACAGGGCAGTGCACGCTGTTGAAAGGTGCTTTTTAGCACCTTCCTTGTAGGTGGCACAGTGCTCCTGTAGATGGTTTGGAAAGACTTATAGCAAGCTTCTAAGCAGAAAAGTATGCTGGCTCTCTGCATGCTATGGTGGGAACCCTGCTGTTCACATGGATGCTGACACCAGGGAAAATGCAACAGCATGTCTTGTCCTATGCAAAGTCAAAACTTAGCCAGGCACCCGTGGCACAGCAGTGGCACCCTGAGCCCAAACAGGGCTCTGACAGGAGCAGAAGGCACTAAACCCCAGCAAGAAGGGGATAGAGTGGTAGCACTCACTGCCCCAGCCTTTGTATTCACTGGCTTGGATCATTTATTGAGTTCTTTTATTGAGCTGGAAAATAAAGAAGGCAGAGAATAAAGTTCTGATCTTACTACATCTATGACAAAAACAGTCTCTCAATATCAGTGAAGCCAGGATTAGGCTCCACACATTGCAGCCAGTGAGAGAGAGACAATGACAAGAGGGGCAGGTTGAGCGCCATCCTCTTGGTGCAACTGAACCTTAAAACTTTGGGGATCTTTACCAGGAAAGCTTTCTATTATCAGAGCGTCTGCTCCTTCCAAAGAGGGAGTTTAAGACTATTAACTGATTCTTGCTAGCAATGCACTGCTCCCTGCCCCGGGCCTCTGGGCCAAGCACCCTCCTCCCTGCCCAGTTGTGGGAGCTGAATAGCTCTGTAAATAACAGACCTGCTTTCCTTTTTCTGCTGAGAACCCATGAGAAAAAACCCACAAGTACTATGTGGTTTGAGAATATTGGCACTGCTGCTTTTATATTCACCAACTCCAAATTGCACAGAACAGAAAATAACAGATTCACCACGACCAAATCACTTCAATCTGCCCAAACTCTGCTGAAATATTCTTTTTTTGTAACACAACAAAATTTAGTTCCAGGCAGAGGTAGACTTGTCTCAATCTCTCCCCCTCCATCCTCAGCTCCCGCTCCCTCGTGGTGATGGATGTGGTACCAGCAGAGCTCCGTGCTGCCCACGCCAGCTGCCCCCAGGCAGCACGGCAGCCGTGAATGCCTATTGTAACACAGTGGGTTGCAATGTTCAGCATGAGATAGCCTTGTAAGCTTTGGTAAAAGCTGTCCTGACTGGCCTCTCCACTTTTGGAGGCCAGAAGCCAGAATAACTGGTAGCAAAAACAGTGAAAAACTATAGACTTTTAAGGATTATTTCTGCTTTCAATGGCAGAGGCTTTGTTGCAACTGTCATGGAAGTAGGTATATTCTTGGTTGTTTCTGTGCATCCAAGGAGCCTCAGAGGCTGGATAATTTAATTGCTTTTCAGAGTCATCTCTTATCAAGTGCCTGTGGAAATGCTAACAGCACTTCTAGAAAATTCTGTAAAACCTTGAATATTTACCATCCTTCTTCAGAAGCTCAGAAAAAATATAGCTCTGCTAAAATATACCTTTTCATTCTGCAGCCTGAATGAATTTCAATCAGTTCAGTCTTAATAGTATGCAAATTACAATAATTAGCATTAATGAAAAATCCAAAGAAAATACTAGCATATTTCGGGAGAAAAGAAGTGTAAGGTCAAAAGCAAATACAAAAGCAAGGTAATGTGAAGAGGTCCTGAATTACTTGTCCAGTATGCACAGCCTTCAAGCATATGCTCAGCTCTAAGCATTCATTTCAATTAAAACACGCCTGGCTGTCTCTCTAAAGCAGCACTGCAGGGCTTGTCAGGGACCGAAGCTGCCGAAAGGATCTAGTGTTGAAAAATATATTGAGCATTAGCAAAAAAATCTAACTGCACACAATACTTAATAGGCTTAAAGACATCACAAGCTGTCTGTCCAAGAAATTCCTCACTCTGGAAGTAATACTACCCAAGTAAAGGTCTTCCAGAAACTAGGGAAAGCTTTATTGCAGAAAAGGATGTGATATTTCTCCAGCTTCTATAGACACTTTTGATGATTTAAGGTCTTTGCTTCTCTCTGCATCCTAAATTAGCTACTCTGGAGAAAGCAGGTAGACTGTCTTCCAAGACGGTCTCCAAACTCCTAATGCCAGTAACAGCTTGACTTTCGCTCTCTGTGCCACCACCTTTAAGGGCTTTTGACAGAGAATACTTCATCTTTTTTTCCACAGTAAATTAGCCCTCTGTTTCAAAGTTGCAATGCTTTAAGGTCAGCCACAGTTTATCCACTATGTAAATATGAACAGGCTGCTTCTATGTGCATTAGGCTCTGAAGCTGGGAAAGCATTTGGGATACTGGGAGGTAACTGTTGTTACTGACTCTGCTGCTGATCTTGGACCAACAGCACTAGAGCATAGCGGACCTGCCAAGGAGCAGGGAAGGAGAGCCAGCTTTAGACTGCATTCTTTTATTACTAAATCAAAAACAAACCTGCAGGAATGGTTCTCTTTATTGGTAATGCAGAAAATTTAACAAAGAAAAAAGGGGCAAAAAATACATCCTGTAAAACCCCTTCAGAGCTGCCAAACCCTATGAACACAAATTAATTGACTAGAAAAGATAAGATAAGAAGAGGCTGGGTGTGCAGAAACCCTAGCAACCCAGTTCTCTGCATAGACAAGCTATAAGTAACAACATGATCAGGGAGAGTTGGAAACAGACTTGAGCATTTTATGTAAGTAGCATCACAGCAATCTGCCTTTCGGAGCACACAGGAATCCCGAGCCTGTTCTCTCCCATGGAACAGATAGACAAATAAATGAAATTTAAACAAAAACTCAATGGATTTATAGCATTTTAGTGAATTTTGGCAAGGTTCACCTCTGTACTCTGCTAATGCCAAGCAGCTTATCCACCTAGGTTAATCAGCCAGATCAGCTGAGCTTAAGGTCACTTTTGCTTAAAAGGGGAACCAAAGCAACTGGGATATAGTAGGGTTTACTTAAATAGATAAATAAATATATACGTATGCATCAGTACACTGATGTTTGTGGACTATATTTAAAGGTTTTAAAAGAAACTGTATCAGTGAAGAGTAACAATAAAGACAAGTAAGTAATTTGAAGAACATAATTATATTTTCCAATGCATTTTTATCTGTCCCTCACAGCCCAATACAAACACTTACCTATTCATTCACACCTCCCAGACCCTTCCACCTACCAAAAAAGACGTTTCTTGCCTGGCTGAAACATGACAGGGGTGATAGAGGACAAAATCCTATTAAGGTAGTATCTATGTTTTTAGGTAGGATTTGAGCATACGAGTACCCTGTGCTTAAAATATTACAGAAGGATTAAAACCTGCCAAAACCACTTCAGGTCCAGGAAAGCTTAGTTTGTTTATAAACTCAAAGACCTATTTCAATCAAAAGGAGATTCTTGGAGGTCTGTCCTTCATGCAAGGAGAACCTAGACCTGGCCAGAGATGCCCAGGGTTTGGTTCGCAGTCTCATGCCATTGAGCTTGCAGGTGGTATTAAGTTGACCTTTGCAAACTTCCACTTGCCACTCACCTGCAGATATCATTTTCAGGTTCCTCCAGTCCAAACTGATTATCAAAAGCCAGCTGGATCCTGGTGGTCTCTGGAGAGTGGAGCCGCCACGTCAGCAGGAGGTTCCTGGGGTAGCTGCTGGGGAAGCGAGGACTGTGGATGCAGCCATTCCCTGCCACACTGATGGTCTCTTCTTTTCGGTACAAGTCTGTGAGGTGATTGCTCTCTGTTAGTAGTCACAACTTGTAGAAATTAGTATGTTGTTCCAGTTATAGGAAGGCAAAAAACACAACAGGTTATAATAAAGAACAAATTATTTGCAATTAAAGCCTTAAAAAAGTTGTGTCTAGAAGCAGTTTTATTAGATAGGAAGTACAGTGTATTTTCTCTTAATTCAATCCCATATAAAGAGTAAGAACAACAGAACTCAAGTATACCGACTCTTTATTTTACAAGAAATATATCATTACTTTTACATTTTTATCGATTATATAATTTCATTCTCACCACTTTGATTTTAAAACAGAATTAAACTTTAATAAAAGCAGAAAGCTTGAGAACAACGAAGTAAGACAGACTGAAGTAAAAAAAGATAAACGACCCTGCTTCCCAAATTTGGTGCTTTGGAGAGCAATGCCCTCTGAACAAAAGCACCAATAAAGGGCCACAGGAAAGTGCATATGAGGGAATTTAAGTTTGTTTATTGTTCTTAAGTATTTCCTCCCAGAAACATTTGTTAGGTCATGTTTTGATTTTATTTATATGGTGTGAATCACTTGCTGCTAATGGATGATTAACACAACCATGCTTATACTGATGTAACTGAGGTCAGATTGTGTCCCAACAGCCTCCTTACTGAGTAACTTCAAGACAAATAGCCAAGTCTTTATTTAATTAAAATTCCACAACTTCTGCCTGAGCAAATATTCAATTGTTCCTGAAGTTTTACTTCTACTGAGGTAAAGCCTCTGCTGCTATAAATCCCTGGCTCCAAGGATAACAGGAACTGTGGCAAGACCCAGCTCTCTAAAAGTCAAAATGCCTTCTCAGTTGCACTATGCACTTGCATTGTCCAACTGTTTCTGATACTGGAATTTGGCTCACAGCATCAAAGAACTTCAAACAACAATTCTTCTGTGCTTCAACAACTTGATTGTGGGGAAATCTTGAGGATCAGAAGTCTCCAAGAAAACATGCAGATCAAGGCAGGTTTCAGTTCCCAATCACAGAATCACAGAATATACTGTGGAGGAGTCCAACAAGGATCATTGAGTCCAACTCTTAGTCCTGCACAGCACCATCCCCAAGAGTCACACCATGTGCCCTAGAGTATTGTCCAAATGCTTCTTGAACTCTGTCAGGCTTGGTGCTGTGACCACTTCCCTGGGAAGCCAACACACCACTCAGCTCTGAGACTCCACTGGTGTGACAGCTACCTGTGTTCCTTCCCCATGTGATGTGTGGGAATCTTGGGCTCAGTTCAGTCACTCACAGAGAGATGCCCTACACCCTTCAAGATAAAGCACAGTTTCCTGCCTGGCCTCCATGAGGACAAGGAGATCCAGCAGCACATCTAGCAGACCCCAGCAAAGGTCGAGTGGAAGCCGTGGTGTCTCACAAAGTCACCTGCATGTGGGTAATCTGAGCCCCTTCTCAATGCAGAGTTACACCCAGATAAGTCAGTCAACCAACTTCATTGAAGGAATTTCTGTTTACCACATGAACTTGGACACTGCTTTCATGTAAACACTTAAACTCTGGTGTCTTTATCTTAAACTGAACATCACTCCAGTTCTCTGCTAAATGCCAGGTCAACCTCCAGTTCCACTACAAGCAACAGAAATAGAAAATTGGTGCCTTCTGCTGAATTTGGAGGCTAAGGAAGAGCAAATGGGGGAAAAGTATCTCCCACCAAGTACCTCTGTGAATGTTGGCAATACAAAACCAAAGTAAGCAACCAGCGGCAGCCATCTGTAACACACAGTAACCTAAGTTTTCACTCTTAAAATAAAATCTAATGTTTGACTGAAGTTTTCCAAGGTCTTTAGATAAAATAAATATATTTGTTTCATAAAACACTCATTAAAAACAGGAACCCAGAGAAATGGTACAAACTTCACGGCAACTATATCTGTTTTTTCAGGTTGCTTTTCACTGGTTTCTTGCTGTAAATACTTCCTTCCACGCAGCTGCAAGCAAAGCATGGTTGCGTGTCAACAGTTCATTGTACTCTTCTGACAGGGCAAAAATTCTAGCTTCCAAACAACCTGAAACTTAGAGGATAAAAGCCTTTGTTTCCTGTAAAACTATCTCCAAAGACCTAAGTGTGACATCTTTCTAAGATGCTTTCACACTCTGAGCCACCCTTTCTAAACAAATACAGCCCTAGCTCAAAGTGCAGAATTAGCCAGTTTTGTTTTGTTCTATTTTTACCAAACAATTTGCATAGGAAAAGTGCCAATTTGGTGAAAATAAAGACCACCCACCTATTAATTTTGTTGCAATTTTCATCAGGGACATCTATACTGGAATCTGGTTTTCATTTTATTTTAGTCAAAAAAAGGGGAAAAAGACAGCTGTGGGGTTTTTTTTCCCCTAATCTGGAATGAAACAAAATGTCCAGCCAACACTACTGAATTCTTACCAAAATGCTGAGGACCTTTGGACTCTAAAAACACCCAGTCCACCGAGAGGACAAGATATTTCACAGGACTATGTCCAAAATGTCCAAGAAAAGGGATAAAAATAAAACAGTTTTGATGATAACAAGTTCTGCACTTTTTAGTGAAGCAACCATTCCTCAAGTCAGAACAAAAGTTACTGCAGTAAAACATGGCATAACTCATTCTATGCCTCAGAGTTCTTTACTCTTCTTTCTTGGACAGCAAACTCTTGCCATTTTCCCTCTATCACCATGCATTTCACTGTGTTGTTCAATGTAATTTATGCCTCTGAGGGAAAGATTTCCTTTTCCCAAACAGTCCTAGCACAAGCTTTACTCTTCTGAGATTCTGGGGGACAGTATCTCTTAAATGTGCTCATACATAGACCCCCAAACAAAACATCTGTGCACTTAACTCAGTACACCAGCTGAGAATGCACACTACTGTGCTCTTGTACACCAAGAAGATAGGGTCTGTCATGACTCATAATTAAACTTAAACTCTGAATTTCACAGACTGTGGTGCTCTGCCATCAAGTCAATCACACCTGACTAAGACCAGTGATGAAATGTCATGGCTGGAGCAGCTTTATCCAAGTTGAACAGGTACACGAAGCAATAGACCAACACATGTTAAAAAGCTTAAAAATCAAAGCACAGTGACTTAATATTTCTATCATGGTAATGCAGGAATTATAAAGTTATCATAGAAGAAAGGTTGGAGAGAAGTATGGGAAGGAAATTCTCACTATAGTAAAGTAATAGATATCCAAATATTGCACTCTGAGGATATGTCTCTTCCACAAGGGAAGAACATATGTTTCATGAGAAAGGCCATAAACACTGTTTGTATATCCCACATGAGATGAAATCTAAAGCTACTCAGTGCTTTCACTCGACTTCACTGGAGCAGACTCTTCAGGAGCTCTGAAACAGCTTGATTTCCTCTCACCTCCCTCACCTTGCGCTAAATTACAACCTGAAGTGGCGTGACCAGCACTGGAACCAAACACGTTAGAATTTTCTAAGGGGATTTTCACTGGGATTTCACATAGTTATCTGATTTAGAAGACACAGGAACACGGTCAACATAAACTTGCTCTCCCAAGGCTGGCCTCGTAGGAATCATCAAGCACCTGGGAAACAGCTTGAGAAGATGCGAGCAACTCCTGTACTTCTTGTATCAACAAAGATACGGGACTAAAATAAGACTTTTCCAAGCAGACAAGCATTGCCCTCATCAGATCCGCTGCGGGAACTCATGGAAATCACACATTAGGCAAGGGGAAAGTCAGGACAGAAAAACTTGAGAAAAGGCATAAGCAAAGGAAAAGACAGTGAGTCTGTCTTTCAAGGCACTGAACTGTTCCATGTTGCAATGCAATGAAGTACTACACAATATCCTGAATGTCACATACTAACTGTATTCCATAAGGCTTTATGGGAGTAAATAAAAGATGACAGTGCATAATACACTGCCTGTCACATTTACTAAAAAGCATTAAAAATCATTTCCCAATGAATAAAAGCAGGTGTTAAGTCACAAGGCAAAAAGGCCATTTGGGCCATACACAGAAGGAGGATACTCTCGATGGCAGGAGCCACAAAGACATCCTTGCACTGAGGGAGGAAAACTATCTCATAAGGAAGATGAAGGGGAAGCAATCTGGAAGATATCCTTTTAGGTGAGGCAATTCCCTGCAGAGTCTGAACTGATTGGAAAGCAGCTTGCTCTATATTTTATTTATCTGAACTAATCTCTCTCTTTTTTTGCCTTGTAATTCTTTCCCAACCACTAATTTTAAACATAATGACATACCTGATAGTCCAGCTGTCCAAGTCAGAGGAGCTCTCATTTAAGTGCTCAAGGTAGCTGCATTTTCCAAAGTGCTTGCCTTCCTCCTGCTGCATGGAGGATAGCTGAGTGACAGACTGGGAACTGGGAAGTACACTTCAATATTCAAAAAACTGTGCTTGTCTCAAGACTGTCCCCACAATGGGTGCCAAGCACATCCAATGTTTCCCTTTCCCAGCTAGGCCATGCTGCATGAGCAAGATTCAGAAGCACAAATTTCATCCTGTGATTTTGTGGATGCCTGCATTGCCTTGCAAGCTTTAGCAATGTATTGACACATTCCTCTTAAAGCTACTCCTAGTCATGACATGCCTACTACAGAAAGAAGTTTGTTTGTATCGTCATTATTGAGCAGACAGTGGACTCCTTCACTAAAACAATAATAATATTTTTTAAAAAGGTAATTTCTACTTGCTAATAGCTAATCTGACATCTGTTCTATGGTATATTCAGTAAGGAGAGTCTGTAAGTGTCAATTCCTTTAAAAAGAAGAAGAACTCAGAGAATGGTCTTGTGTAAGGACCTAACCAACAATATGGAATATTAATTCCACCTTTCTAAGGTTTCTGGAACTTCAGCCTCACTTCCAAAGGTGTTGTCTTGTGTATAAGTTTGCTTCTGTCTTTCTTTCCCTTGTAGAAGTGGTTGGCTGACCAACTTTGATACAGTGGTAAAGGCTGAAAAGATAATGTACTCTGACTTGGTTAATGACAATTAATTCCATACAGTAAAACCTGGTGAGCTCATCCCCTGCTACAGCTGAGGAGAGTTACTGGGAATCATGATGAGGTTCATTTTACTACTCATGAAACTATTTGTTATTTCAGGAAAGGACCTTGGGAGTTTGAACGTGAGAGTTTTCCAGATATAACTCTTTCTCCCCCATGGCTGCTGTCTTCGAAACAAATACAGCACTCAGTGGTTTGCCACCAGTTTTTAAACAAATGAGATAACCTTCGAGGAGAATAATAGCTCTTCAGTTTCTTCAGTTAAAAATTAGACTGATCTAAATAGCTGAATCCACAGAGAAGCAAAGAATAGTAAAACATTTTTGAATCCATGCCACAAATCAGTTCATCTTGGGGACAGGTATGCCAAGCAAGCTGTATTTATGGCAGCCTGTAGACAGTCATTGGCTTTTTTTTTTATTCCCCCACCCTCCTGCAGTAAGCAGAAACTTTATTTGTTATCCATAAGGCTCTGTGTAAATCAGATGAAAAGATCAGAATTCATGGTCAAAACAGTGTATTCCATAGCTTGTCATAGCTTGTTGGAAAGACATAAAACTGAAAGGTAATTTTCGTTGTTAGAAACGTGTGGGTTTGTTCTTTTTTTGTTTGTTTGTTTTGTTTTTGTTTGTTTGGGTTTTTGGTTGGTTGGTTTGTGTGTTTGTTTGTTATGGATATAAACAACAAAATTATTCTAGTCAGTGAAGAATTTAGCACTTTACAGTAGTACCAGTGTCAGACATCTCAGTCCTTTTAAGGACAGAGGCCTAACACACCTGGCTCAGGTCTGGTCCCATCATGATTCACTAGCAGTTCAAGAAGGCAGACCAAGAGAGGGAAAGGATCAGAATGGCAAGTAACAAAACAGAACTAGCAAAATCTCGCCCAGGCTAAAAATTGTAAATTGTCTCTTATGGAGGCGCTGCACTGAGAAACAGTCAGTCTAGTATAGGGATGTATATGTACAGCTATATTAGGGTAGCGGATCCAGTTGAAAGCATTACTTCAATTTGATTTTAGCTTTATACAACTTCAATAATCTCATTTATTTCAAGGACACTACAGACTTTAGTAAAGCTCATACTTAAGGAGTTTGCTGGATCAAGGCCCAGAAAAAGAGAACATTAACATCACCCAGCGTGCTACTTGTCGCCCAGCAAATGAGCAATTAAAAAGTGGACCCAAACCCCACTGAAGTTGATGAAAGACTCTCAGTTTGGATGGTCTGCCACTGAACTTCAAAGAAGCAGCTTGAGCTACCTGCCCTTTCTCTTACCAATGGACCCTTTCTTTACATCAGGAGCATGAAAGGCTCCAGGCAACATCATAGTTCAAATCCAAAGCATGACCTGTTCCATCACTGAGGCAGTATCAAAAGATGCTCTGTGAATGTTCTGCCAAATTCAGACCTCACAGCTGCCTCCATGTCCCTGAGCTGTGTGGAGATCTTTCCTAGAAGAATGTATCTATAGAGGATATATCAAAGAAAAAAAAATTGAGCTGTAATTGAAAGAAAAAGATTAGCCAGTATAGAATATCAGTAGAGAAGGTATCAGAGAATGAGAACACCCCAGATATCTAAAATTCCTTTCAGAGCCATCATCCATTTGATTACAGAATGGTTAGTACTCTGCCTATGGTTCTGTGCAGAGCAACCCTGCAATTCCTGCTATTACATAGTAAATCTGTGGTCGAACAGAACCTAAGCAAAGACCACTTATGAGAATATTAAGTAAGCAATTGATAAGGAAGTCCAGACATATAATTCATAGAGACAGGCTGTCTCTATGCTTCTCAATATAGTAAACATAATTTTATTTGCATTTAATACTACTATTGTTACTGTGGAATGGACACCATGGTAACTGCATTTTGCAGTCCTGAAATGAAGAACAGGCTGGACTACACCTTGGTGGGGTGAAGGCTGTAACTCTCCTTTGTCCACTTTGCTGGATGCCTTGCTCAGACTTCCACAAATGAATACTGAGAAAAAATTTCCTTTATTATGTTTACAAGGACATCAAACTCAGTGGTGTTTGCTTTCAGCAGTGACTTGTATTACTTGTTTTTATTTGACTTCTTGATAGAGATTTTCTTCTACATGTAAGAACATGCTGAATGTCTCATATTAAAGCAGAAGTGTCTATAGAAAGGTAACATATGTTAGGCCAACATATAAAGCATTTTGTTAACTGCTAGTTTTTTCATGATGTGTGGTAGTGTTGCAATGCATCTCTCTGTTGGACTCTTAAACCATCAGCAAACTGAATGTATTTTTCTCTTGGGATTCCAAGAGAAAAATACACCCAGTTTGCTGATGGTTTAAGAGTATAATTATGACAGAGGAAAATGTATATATCAAGAATGTGTAGATCTAATGATGTGCAGTAAGACTAATGGAAATATCCCCATGATCATGAGCATAAAAACCCAAAAATCCTTGAAAAACCGTGAGAAAAAGTATACAGAGGAAAATTACTCTTCTGGTGCTGTGAAGAGTTTAAAGGAAACTTGATAACTGAAGCGGACATTTGCAGTGAGTGCCCACACTTCCGTAAGAAGGCTGGTACATAAAGCTGGAGTAGTGCTGTATTGTTGGCTGAGATGGAGTTCATTTCCCCATAGCGGCTCTCACAGTGCTGTACTTTGCATGGGTAGCTAGAAAGGTGTTGATAACACACCAGTGTTTTGGCTCCTGCTGGGCTGTGCTGGCACAGCATCAACACTGTCTCTCAACATTCCTTCCCCCATCCCCACTAACAAAGGCAAGATCCTGGGAGGGGACACAAGTAAGCCAGCTGACCCAAACTAACCAAAGGGATATTCCATACCATATGACATCAGCTCGGAAGATACAAATACTAAGGAAAGGAGGAGGAAGGGAGGAAGCATTTGTTATTTATGTTTGCAACCAGTACATGTGCTGAAGCCCTGCTTCCCAGGAAGTGGTTGGACATTTCTTTTTAATGGGAAGTAGAGGATATATCTTGCTATTTTCCTCTTTGTTTGTGCACATGCAAACTTTTGCTTTTGCTTTAGTAAACTGCCTTATCTCAACCTATGAGTCATTCTTCATCTTATTCTCTCACCCCTGTCCTGCTGGGGAGTGATAGAATGGCTTGGTGGGCACCTGGCATCCAGCCAAGGTCAAGCCACCACACTTGGTCAAAATGATGGCAATTAGAGACACAATTTCTATCAAGCACAAATATCAACACCAGACCTTGACTCACACTGTTTTGCAAAGAAATAAGACCTAGACACTTCAAATTTTCCTGTTTAGGTAGCAGTATCGAGAAAGTAGACCTTTGTGGGAAGCTTCATTCAAATTTTCCTGGTGCAATGAAAATATATTCCTTTTCCATTTTCCCTTCATTATTTTTCAGATTTTTATGACCAAACAAGGAATTATTGCCTCAAATCTTAAAAGAGAATTCGTTTTAAGACATTCTTTTAGAAACTGTTTCACTCAAGCACTACTAAGTGTGAACAAGATGTGAAATTTTCTTAAAGAAAGAAAAATGTTGATGAAAGGAAAATCCAGTCAAAAGGGGAAAGGCTTCTTATGTTAAACATATTGTAGCAGATAGACAGGCAATTACCAAGTGGAGATTGTATGTTAGGACATTAGGCAGTAAAAGGAGAATGTTTCAAAAGACAAATCAAGGCAATTTTCTCTTGTGATGTGAGTTTCCTTACCCTCTGTGTCAGCATTGAAGATCTGAAATCTCTGGAAGGGAGTGAAAGGTCACTTCTTATAATGGAAAATCTGGTAATAGTATTCTAGCAGACATCATTTCCTTGGGCATGTTTTTTGTCTTTGAGAGACCACATATCAACTGATTGCACAAAGATAAAAGCTTGTGGGGATATATCAGTCACTTGAGGGCATATGCACTAAATACTTACTACCTTAAAGTTACCTAAATCTTAAAACAAAACAAAACAAAACAAAACACCAAAACCAGACCTCACTGTATTAAAATATGATTGTTGGTAATCTTTTTTTTTTTTTTTTCCCTGCAACAGCCTCACAGCTAAAAAATGAACTCTATCCCAATCAAAACCAGGACACAGCTAAATCTCTTCCAAGGAAACAGGAGCCTGTGTTGTGATTCTTCTATTTGTTGAGAGAATTCAGACCACTTCTGACTCCTCTCTAGGGAAGGATGGGTTCTGGACGACACTTCAAAGATGGCTTGACATTTTTCAAGAAACGGATGGAGGTAAAATGCAGAAAAAATTCTTGGCACAGGGACCAGAACTCGAGATTTAGTCAAAAAAAGCAAAGACCCAGCAGATTTTCTACTTCCTACTCTGAGGCACATTGTCATGGGTCTCTGACAGTTTAGATCAGAGCAGAGTGCACCACGGCTCCCTTTTCTGCGCCCATGCCTCAGTTTTCTTCTGATGAAAACCACAGCACTGGGGCAAAGAGAGCAGTAGACACTGAGCTCTTTTCTCAGCCTGAAGGCAGAACATGAATTGGGCCATAGGGATGGTTTTACATCATTTAGATAAAACCCATGTTAAAAAACAAAATTCCCCCAGTCTGGAAAGCAAAGAATTTAAGTCATACATACTGAAAGTACTCAGAGCTTTAAGTGCAGGGGATCTTTTCTGTAAGTACTTAGGATTTTCTCTGGAGGTCTGGCATCAGAATGCTGCAGATCTGTCATGTGGATAGATGCTGCAATTTAACAAAGTTTCCAGGCACATTCATAAAATTCTTGGCTGTGGCCTCCTTTTATTGTTATGATCTTTCACCAAAGGTTCTAGAAATTTCCTTTGTCCTTCACCAAAGAACAAAACTACGTGTGGTGAAAGAACAGGAGGACTTAAGCACTGCCAATATATAGGGACCAGTGACTGGAAAGATGATGCTGTTGTACATCAGTGCAGCCCACAAGCTCAGGAGCTGCTGTACCACAGGCAGCAACAATCTCTCACACCAGCACAGACAGATCCTGATCACTGTAAGCCAAAACCAAAATTGGAAATGGAGTTGGCTCCAAAGCTTTGATTTACACACCTCAGCTTCCCCAGTCCTTACTGGAAAAACAGCTGTTCAGCTGTTTACCAAGAGGAAGCTATTGGAAACTTTCCTACAAGCCTGTGTGTGGGTGTTTGATAAAAAAAGAAGAACTAAGAAGTTGTTGAGCTGAGCTGCCATTCCGGCTATACTGCTGCCTCACACAGTCCCTGCTGCAGCCATCCTACCTGCACTCAGCCCCTACAGCACAGGGCCTCGGGTATGAGTGCTAGTCACAGCTCTGCAGGGAGGATGAGGATGCCAAGCAAAGACAGTCATGCCACCTTTGGTTCTGATTGTGGAAATAACAGTCATTTAGTGATACTGCTTGAGTTGAGCCATCTAGTACAAAACTTAGTTCTCTCACCGTTTCCTCATTGTAGTACCCAACACCGAAGGTGCAACATAATGTGTAACATAATGTAAATTTAAAAAATATAAAAAGAGCAGTGTAAAGACACACACAGGTAAAGATAATTCTTAAGTCAGAAGACTACTGCATTACAGTTTCCTGCTTAACAGTGGATGTCTCATTGGGCTTGCTCCCTGTCTATTCCTTACATGATCATCCTCAGTTTTGTGGTGGCTGGAAATTCTGACCAGCATTATGGAAACTGAGAGATAATCTCTCCTCTGAAAAATGTGCAGTTTACAAGATAAAAGACTGAAGAACCAGAATTCCAGAGACACTATTTATATTGATCAGCAAACCAGCGATGGGACAAAGAATTAAATATATCTTTCCAGATTTCTATTCCAAAGCCATCATTGTACAATGCCCCTAGAAAACCAGGCTTGGTTCTTCATCCAGTAGTTCTCTAAATGGAATACAAAACCTATAAAGATTAACTTAAAAAAATAAAAATTAGTAGGTTACCTTATCCTTTTGTAGCAAACTAGATCACAAAAAAATGAAGATGTGCATGAAAGTTTTCTTCCTGAGAGAAAAATTTACTGTCCATTTCACCCATTAAATAAATTCCACCTTACACATTTTCAGAACAAGATGTGATTAGAACAGGACTAGGAATTTCTGCTGCAGATGTTGCCAAACCTTTTGTAACATGTTTCTCTACTGTTAGATTTGTTAAGTTAGAGCCACAGTAGATCCCTCATGAGCAGACGAAAACACATTGAAACCTCTGTGAAGGTAACGATATTCAGGACTTTGCTAAGACTCCATGGGGAGAAGACATTATATATATATTTATGTTCTGAACAGGGCTGACTATACTGTTGGCAAATCAGAATGTAATTAAACAATCCTTCACTTTCATGGACCTTTGATGAACTCTCACTTTTAAACAGAAAACTGGAGTCTCCTGTGTAAATGCACTGGAGACAAAGCCAGACTACAAAGTTGTCCTCTGACTGTAAATTCAGTGAAATGTTTGATAGTAAAAGAATTGAGCAGTTATGATGATAAATTCAGACAGCTTTGGTTCCAGATATCACCAGCAGGAACACAAAGTGGCACATTTCACTACTCCAGCTTTCAGAAGACACATGAGATGACTTAAGGTTAACCAGTAGACAGCACCAGCAGCCCCTCACCTTAAAGCTCCCAGAGAAAAATGGTGAGGCAACCAAACCCAGTTGCCCCCACCCTGATGAAAGCCAGGCTGTGCTTTACTCTTCCTGACCTAGACTGCATATCAAATAAGGAGAGAAGTGCAGAGTGGTGATGTGCATGTGGCTGACACCAGGTGGGGCTTTGATGCTTGGCTCAGGCAAGACCAGAGTAGGTCCCTGGAAGTGTGCAGAACCCAGCTGATGAAGATCAATGCTTGGTCACCAAGGACTGCGCTCTGTGGGTGAGAAGTTCCACCCTCCATCCATTTTGGCTGGGGAAGTCAAAGTGGACTATTTCGCTCCTATCTCACCCTGGTGGTACTGATGTTGCACATCCAGGTGAATGTCACATGCTGAGATCCTGTCCAGCTGAAGGGCACAGCTGTGTGCTGAGTATTTAACACAGCTCTGAGCAGCTGTCTGGCCAAAGAGAAACCAAATAAGAGGTTTATGTGACTGACATAAAAGGAGTGAGAAAGTCCAATAAACACAGTACTCTCATATCAATTCATTTGGTGAACACCCTGTAGCAGTGCTATCAAAGGGAGACAGGGACATACTGCACCATTTCCTGGGAAAACTATTTTCCACAGTAATGCTTAAAATAGAGCAGGCTACCTTAGCACTCTTGGGACTACCCAATCAAGTGATTTTTACTCAGTTAGCTTTGCACATTTTTATAGCATCTAGGATTACAATCCAGTAAGACAAAAACTTTAGCATCAGTACAACTATACTTATAATAACAATGGTATATAAATTATAATTTTTTTTAACTATATTCAGCAACCTTGAGCCAGATATTATCAGGTATGGTATTGAGAAAAGAAAAATAAGTTCACCATAGTCTCGACTAAAACAATGCTTTTGTCAGTTTCCAGGAAAAGAAAAAGAAAAAAAAGAGGAATAATAAATGTTCCTTTATCTCATCTAAAGCTCAGAAAATAACAGTTACAAGACGCTTCACTCTTGCCAGGTTGAACCCTTGTCCAAAGAGAGGGGAAAATGTTCATGTTTCTGACACAAGAAAGCAAAGTAAAAAACTCATCTTGGCAGAACAGATATGAAAACTGGATTAATGACAAATTTGCTACAGAAATT